CAAATGGCAATTGCTTGAAACCCAACGTGATTTACAAAGCCGACGTGACAACGACTGACAACAACGAAACAAAAACTTATATAGGTGTTACTGCATGCGCTTTTAAGATATCGAAACCACATTAAATCAATTAAGAACATTAAATACCGCAACGAGACAGAACATTCTAAATACACGTGGACATTGAAAGAAAACAAACGAAACTACAACATTAAATGGGACTTCATCAAACAACTTCCACCTCCGAACAAAAACCAAAAAACCCGCCGTCTTTGCCTTGAAGAAAGACTACTTATCCTGAAAGGACGTAAAAAGAACATTTTAAATAAACGTTCCGATATTTTTAGGGCATGCCGTCATGTAACCTAACACCTTTTAATCGATGTATATAGTCAGCGAATAATAAATAATCTGTCAGTTGCCTGAAGATCGCCTTACGGCGTGAAACTCCGAGTAGCGACAGCAAAAACTTGTCCATTTTATTTCATTTTATGTATAATTACTATATATATATATATATATATATATATATATATATATTAAATATTTTATTTATATTTTTAATTTTTAATTCAAATGAAAATTTCTTTGTAACTATCCTTTATTTTGTGTATTTTTTTATAGATAGGACGTTTATTATCAGACATAGGTGGTCAGTTGGGTCTATGGATTGGAGTTTCAGTTGTAACATTGGTGGACTTCACTGAAAGCCTTTCAAACTTCATGAAGGCTTTTTATCGACGGATAAAGATGAAGATGGTCAAAAAATCGCACAGGAATCCAACAGTTGACTCACTCAACTACCAGAGCAACAACAAAAAACCTAAACCTAATCGTATGTAAGCCACGAACGATAAAAAAAATATATGTTTTAAGTCAAGAACAAAATAGTTTTATCAGCTAAAATATTATGACACGATGTAAAAAGACAAAATCCGTGTAAAACAACAGTAGATAAGATGCAGCTTTGTCACACTTTTGTCACGGAGCTCTTACCCGTGCCAGTTAGTTTCCAGTCCCCTGAAGTTGATCGGTGCGCGCGCATGTCAACCGGAAATAGGGTTTAATAAACATGGCATGGCATTGGATGGCGTGAAAATCGGAAATACGACAAAGCTGGAAGTTGCATGCTATTGACAAAGTAACATTAGATCCGCCTTATGTTTTATTGGTTAATAAACCGGATCTATGTCATTGTGTATTCATTCTTCAAACTATATAGTCGAACTATCGTCTTAAAAAATGTTATTTGCGTTGTTTATTGTTGCATTGCTTTTGGACGTTTTGAAAAAACAAAAATATGGCACACATGTTTAATCAGATATATGCAGACACTGTTGAGTTTGAAGAAGTTAGTCACAGCGATCTTATCAATTTGATTTTCGTCGATTTTATAAGTAAAAAGATTCAAGAGCTACGAAGAGCTGAAAAGGATGAAAGTAAAGCAGACCCTTGGACGGAGTATCAAAACGTTTTAGAAATGATGGCTGAGGAAGATCGGTGGTTCAATTTTGCAGCTCGTGCAGTCGAAACAATCAATCGCGAACATGTCTGGAATGGAATATGTGAAGCCTTTAAGTTTCTAAAGTACAGTGGACCTTCGAACTCTCACAAGACATATTTTGACAAACTGTTTAGTGTTACTTGGGTAGAACTAATGTTAATGTACACGGAGACAAAACGTCCTCCTTTTATCAACATCTCTTTGACTATGCTGATTGTAGTTGTAAACTGAAATACAGATCAACTGTAATTGCTTTGACAAAAAATAAAATATAAATTTCAATGTTATTGCATTTTGTCTTCAGTTGTTTTATGACCATGTCATTGTGAAAATGGGGATCGGTAGCAGCAAACGTGAAAATAGAAATGCAAAAAGGGATAAAAATCATAATCGTCAGAAAATGTTTCGCTTGGGTATAAGTTTCGGACGCAACGATCTCAATCTTGAGGGTCATTTGCAAGCAGGATACACAAGTAAAACTGTTAAAATTATGGACCCGCCGCAATTAAACTTCCAACAGATAATGCGATAGAAGAAACACTGCCTGTAACTGAAAACATTGAACCCATCGATAATGAGTAGTTAAAAGAAATTGACATCTAATTGCAAAATTATTATCACGAGAACATTGTCATGAGTAACGTTGACCGGTACTTAGCCGGTGTATACTTCAATCCAAAACGCCCAGGAAGCTACGGAGGTGTTGAACGTTTGTACCGCGATGTAAAGGCAGAAGGAATATATGACATTAGTCGTGAAAGAATTAAAGAATGGCTCATGCAACAAGACGCATACTCTTTGCATAAACCTATTCGAAGAAAGTTTGAAAGAAATCGTGTCGTAGTGAGTGGTATTGACGACCAGTGGCAATTGGATCTTGCAGACATGCAATCTTTGCAAAAGTATAATGATGGTTATCGCTATCTTCTTATCTGTATTGATGTTTTTCCAAATATGCATGGGCTGTTCCATTAAAAAGAAAACAGGATCGTCGCTGGTAGAAGCTTTTAAAAGATTTTGTCATCAGGACGTAAACCGACACACATTCAAACGGATCAAGGCTCGGAGTTTTTAATCGAGACTTTAAGAAACTTTTGACAGAAGAAAACGTTACCTTGTTTAATACATTTAACGAGACGAAGGCATCCATCGTTGAACGTTTGATACGTACACTGAAAACTAAAATGTGGCGCTACTTCACAGCAAACAAAACAATGAGATACATTGACATGCTTCCTGATCTACTGTATTCTTATAATCATAGCATGCATCGCAGCATTAAGGAAAAACCGATCAACGTTACAAGTGAAAATGAAGATAGAATTCGGCAAAATTTATATGGTGATAGCAAATTAAATAAACCTACGCATGTAAAATATAAGTTTGATATAGGTGACCAAGTACGAATAAGTAAAATAAAACGAAGGTTTGAGAAGGGGTATTTACCGAATTTTTCAAAAGAAATTTTCACTGTAAGTCAAAAAATACCGCGCAATCCTCCTGTATACAGACTGAAAGATCATGAAGGGACGAACTTGAAGGAACATTTTATGAAAAAGAACTTCAAAAGTCATCAAGAAAGACGATGTTTATGAGATTGAAAAATACTTAAGAAACGTGGTAGAGGGGCAATGTACAATATTTTGTAAAGTGGTCTGGCTACCCTAACAAATTTAATTCATGGGTACCAGCATCGGAAATACATATATAAAACGTAACCGTTTTCATGATTTTTTCATTTCACATTATACCTTAAAGATGAGCGGGACACACTTCTATCTGACATTACCTAGTAATGCATCTCTCTCTGTATTTCCTGAGAATAAGATTTCAGGTTATCGCGTAAAACTACCTCACGTTGTGAATTTAAATGGTAATTGGGAAGTAGGATTGTATTCAATTACATATCCTCATACATGGTACACGTTGAAAAAAGGTTTGGATACACATATATATGTAACTCACAAAACAGGTCTACCTACTCCGGTATTTGTCGACTATGGCCTGTATGAAAAAGCCTTCGACCTAGTAAAATCAGTTAATGAGACTCTTGACAAAGAAGTAAAAGACAATATCAAATTGAGCTTTGACCCCGAACAGAAAAATTAAAGTGCATGTAAGACAGGGTTACAAAATATCATTTAATCAACGAATGTCGGTCTTACTCGGTTTTGGCGGAAAAGACGTAGAGATTTTAAAAACAACCGAAAGCCCTTATGCTTCTGATTTGCACGGATCCGTCATGATGTATGTATATTGCAACATTGTACAACCGCAAGTTGTTGGAGACGTCAATGTAAAATTACTAAAGGCAGTTACCATTCAAGGAAAATATGGAGACATTGTTTCAAGAACATTCACTAATATCCAATACATACCTGTGCAAACAAAATCTTTTGAGGACATCGAAATTCTCTTAAGGGACGAGTTAGGAAACCCCATCGCATTTGAACGAGGGAAGTCGATAGTGACACTTCATTTCAGAAAGCAAGCTTCGTCTTATTTTACATAAGAAATATGACTCTAACAAATCGTTATGTTCAATATTATCTCAACCAACAACGAGGATACGGTTCATCACCAGTGTTTAAAGGAGCACCTTGGCAAAGAGGATATGGGCAAGTGGGTTATGGTCTTGGTGGCTTATTTCGCAGTTTAGCTAGGGCTGTAATACCTCTGGCAAAAAGCGGTGCAAAAGCTCTGGGTAAAATTGCTCTTAACACAGGAGCAAACGTTTTAGGCGATGTTATCTCGGGGAAAAGTGTGAAAGAGTCTGCAAAATCGCGAGTAAATCAGGCTGCTAAAGATGTGGGGAAAATGGCTGTAAACAGAATGCAGCAGTTTGCTCAAACAGGAAGAGGAAAGTCTTCAAAGAAACGGTCAAGAAAACCAGCTAAAAAGAGAAAGGCGACGACTTCCATTGCCATTCACAGTTCAGCCAAGAGACGTAAAGCAGCTAAAGAAGCAGAGGACATTTTCGGCTAAATATGGATTTCGTTCATCCAAAATCTGCAGAATGTACAAAACCGAACTTGATTTATTTTCTGTCCCACCAACACAAGTCAGTTTAGAAAAGGGCATTGGATTGATCATCAACCTGTGTCCAGCGTATCTGAAAATGGACCAATTACATTTTAGCGCCCGGCACTGAAGATTATGTTGACATGTCTAAGACAATATTGGTAGCTAGAGCGAAAGTAACAAAAGCCGATGGTGGGGATATCGATGATGACACTAAAGTTGGACCTGTAAACAATTTCTTGCACAGTTTGTTCAAGCAAGTTGACGTGTTTCTAAAAGGAAAGTTAGTTACACAAGCAACAGGAACATATCCATATCGTGCATATCTCGGAACACTTTTAAATTATGGTCCGTCAGCCAAACAATCCCAGCTCACCGCTGCGTTATTTTACAAAGATACTGCAGGTCAGATGGATAATGCAGATCCTGCTCACGCAAGTCCAAACAGGGTTTGAAGACAAGAAATAAGTTTATCATGGGAAGTAAAATTGTTGATATGGCAGGTCCTATCTTTTGCGATGTTTTCTTTGGTGAACGTTACTTACTTAGCTATGTTGATTTGAAAGTGGTCATGAACCGTACCAGTGACGAATTTGTATTAATGTCATCGGTGGACGGTGCAGCCTTTAGAGTGAAACTGATAGATGCATACCTTAAAGTTCGTAAAGTCAAAGTGAATCCTAGTATATCTCTGGCTCACGAAGTTGCCCTGAAAAAAGGTCCAGCTATTTACCCTGTAAGACGTGTGGACTGTAAAAGTTTTATCATTCCTTCTGGAAACCCTTCACTGCAAAAAGATAACCTTTTCAATGGTTTAGTGCCTAAATCGTTTGTTTTCGGTCTTGTTGAAAGTGCGTCATTCAACGGAGCTTATAAAAGAACCCATTCAATTTCCAACATTTCAACATTTCATCGTTAGGCATTTCAATAAATGGTGAATCTGTACCATTTAAACCAATCAATTTGTCCTTTGGTGCGAATCCAAGATTTATAGAAGCATTTCTATCGCAGTTTTCAGGCACTGGGAAAATGTATTACGACACAGGCAATGGCATTACGCGTGAAGATTTCCCAAACGGTTTTGCCCTGTTCGGCGCGGACTTTACCCCGATATGTGCAGCGCATCCGAACATTTTAACACGGTGCAAAAGGAAACCTGGCCATTGACTTACAATTCTCGACACCGCCAACTCATGCAGTTAGCCTTGTGTGCTATGGAGAGTTTGAAAATATAATACAAATCGATGGAGAGAGAAATGTCGTTTATGACTACATTGGATAAATGAACACCTCACAAATATGGACCGCTTTGAAATCCGATCCGGTAACAGGAAAAAAATTTCTCGGTGTTTTTCCAGCCGACCGTTTGCCTAAAGAAATCGAAAGCTACCCAAAAGGATTTATCGCAAACACGGATGTAAGCGGAAAACCGGGGACCCATTGGGTTGCCTTTACTTTCCTTCAGAAGAAAAAGCCGAATTCTTCGATAGCTATGGACAACCACCAGGGCGATATCATAAGTTCTTTAGAGATTATTTGAAACATTATGATTGGGGTTTAATAAACGTCAATTGCAAAGTATCTGGACGGATGTATGTGGACAATATTGTATATTTTACCTCAGCCATAGAGTGCGAGGATATAGCATGAATAAGATTGTAAACATGTTTGATGGTAATACTGTTGAGAACGATAACAAGGTATCAAGTTTCGTTAGCAGACATTTTCATATAGAAACTAGTGTAACCCTAAACGATAGCATTCAGTCAAGTATAAAATTTGTTGTAAAAGCTTGAGCCGTTTATTATCAATAAAATTTCTTTGTGTAAGCTAATTGCCTGTGTTTTCTATTTGCATATTCTAATGATAACAGTCAGGAAATTGATATCAACTGCTCAATTTATTTAAACAAAACAAATCTTTACATGTCAAATTTTAATAGTCTATCCAACGTAAGCGAGTTTTCTTTAGTGTAGGGCTGGCTTTAGGTGTTGTCATTTTCGTTCTTGAGCCTCTGTGGTAGGCTATTCCGTCTTCTTCATTGGGCGAAGTTTCCATTTGAGCTTCTTCCCATCTTACATCGTTCCGAACCAAATCACGAGGAATGTTTATTTTGATAAAACGCGAAAGAATTCTCTAGAACCTGTAGGATTGAAATTCTTTCTCCCTCTTACGGCGTCGCTAATGAGGTCTGATATATTTGATTGAGGAATAATAACACCGTCAAGTTTGACTTGTCCTGAATCATCCCAAGTTATTATATCTGGTTTTGTTTTGAGACGCTGCAGTATTGCTGTTGCGCGTTCACGCATCGTCTTCGGCACACTTTGTACAATGACGGAGTCAGCTAATGTACGCACTTCGTTGTTTATTACCGTGTTTCTTTCTTCCCCGTCGGTTGTATCCATCACGCGTACTGTGGGTATCTGAATATCTTTTTGTTTCTTCAAATTAAGGAATTGCTCAAAGTTTGTGTTGAAAAGTTTTTGCCTTTGATCGTCACTTAAACCGTCTTGGTGAAGGATGTGCGAGAGTTGAGTATCTTTTTGCATCATGTTCATCGTAATTGGCGAAACTTCAAATTTTTGCTTTTGTTCATATTTATTATAAACGTCTTCAGGTACTAAAATCATTCGCTTGGCATGCTTCATTATTTCAGCAAACTCCTAGTACGTTCAAAACCGGCGGTAGGAAGGCGCTCAGTAGATTGCCTCCTTTTTGATTTAAAAGTTTTTTCTTTTTAGCTCTTGAAATTCTCTTGTTCGCTAAGGCTCTGAGATGTTTCTTATACCTCAACAAGCGTCGTTTTGACTCGCAGATATCGGTACAGTTCCTTTTAACACATTAACTGCGCATTCACAAATGCACAACATGACATCAGATGGTCCATGTTCGATGATAACCTTTCGAATTTTCGGCTTAGATTTTGCAAGTACTTGCAGGTACGGAAGATTGCTCCTAATTCGTTTAGACATGATGTTTAAATGATTGTTGATGTCGATGCTTATCACTTATGTACATAGACAATCTGCTTTTCACCGGGCAAGATATTTGTTCTGACACGCATATTGTCAGATGTGAGTTGATGCAAATCGAGCAAAAGATAGCCGTAAGGGCGGCATGTGGCGTCTTGAAATGACTCCAAAAGGTAATTCGTTTTCTTTGGGTACATCTGCCGTGCCAATGTTGCGATACCTAGCGAATCTCTGGGGTTTTTAAAAATGATCATGTAGTGGGAATTTAAGCTGATTGTTCGGGATTGTTTACCAGGCGGAAATAAATTTTGTGTTAGATACATGACAGAGACGCCACGGTGATGTGACCCGCGGGTAAATAAATCGGACATTCGTTGATCGCTAGAACATTCTGACATCAAATCGTCAACGACCACTAAAGAGTTTTGACAACCTTCCAGAATATCAAATAAGTTGTCCGGGAATCCTTCGACGAAGCAAATGTTTGGAATTTTGATTCCATTTCACCAAATTCACTTTGCCGTTCACCATAACAGTAAATAATTTTATTCGGAACAGGATAAAAAAGTTCATTTAAATTATAAAGCATCGACCTAACCAAATAGCTTTTGCCCGACTGACTTTGACCACACACATAAAAGTTGGCAGGTGTTCTAAAACGTACGTCCATTGTCTCGCAAATAAAAGCAAACATGCTCTGCTTTCACTTTTATAACCACTCGCTAGTAAGCATTTTGACATATTCAAAGAAAGACGGTATGATTCGACTAGCTTGAATGGGAGGTATTTGTAAAATAGTGAACAAAGTGCACACAATAAGAATACATTGGACAATGAACAATTTTTATTAAATATTTTTCTAATTATCTACATGAATCAAACAACAAAAATCTCTTTTGATTACATATGAACACATCATACTTTAGCAGATATTTATGACAAAAATTTTAAAAGCACTTGAGGGTTTACTTTAAAATCCTCACAAGCATAGGCATGTCTTTTAATCGTTCATTCATTTTGTAACTACATTCATAGTTCGCAACATTCATAGTTCACAAGAGTTGTTTGTAACTTTTCCAATTTTCCATAATGAATTCCTTGCTGTCTGTATGTTTTTTCCTTATGGCTTGCTCATAAGACGAATAAAGGTTTAAACTATTGTATATAAATTATACCAAGTTGCTATCATAAAGCAGGGGGGGAGGGAGTTTAAATGAGCAATACCCATAAATGAATACATGATAACAACTTGGTATAATTTATATACAATAGTTTAAACCTTTATTCCTCTTATGAGCAGATGAGCAATGCTCATTGATGCTCATAATTACTTATGAGCACTTGCTCAAATGCTCATAACTGCTTCAACACACTTGCTCATTTGCCCACAAATGCACATTGCTACATAAAATGTCTCATTTCTAAAAAAGCAGTGCCGGCGAAATGAGCTGCAGATATTGTGGAAAAGTATTTAATCGAGCTTTCAACTTACGCAGACACGAAAAGAATACTGTCCACTAAGGGATGAGGAAAAAATGTCTCAATCAGATTCAGACAGTCAGGGAATGCATTTCGAAGATAATGTTTCTACAAGTTCAACAGATGAATCTGAAAGTTCAATGTCAATAGAAAATGAGGCTGAAACTGGAGAGAAAACTGATCCTTGGATACCTTTGATAGAAGAAGCAAGGGAAAGAAGTAATGTAGATTTCGATGAGATGAAGGAAAGCCTTGTGAACAGTGGTCTGGATGAGCAGACAGCTGAAAATCAAGCATATTCTAACATTCTACCAAAACTTCAAAAAGAATTGGAAAGTATTTATATGCAACGTCTTATGTGGATAAACCAACTGAAAAAAGATCCCATCCACAGAAAAATAATGCATACAAAGAAAGGGTTTATAGAAAATGACGACTTTGATCCACAGGAAGCTATGGAAGCAGCTATTGATAAGAGAAAGTTTCTCATCAACAGACTTTTAAAAGAGTACAGCTTTGGTGAGATTGCCAATGATGAAGAAGATTAACTTTGTTAGATGAATTCGTTTCATAATAACTTGTATCTTATTTTGAAGTGACGTTGTTCAATAAAATCTTTTCATTTTCAGTTTAGTGTGAAAATTACTTTAATATTGCATAGCTGCAAAATCCTCTGCTATTGTTTCTATCTCTATCTGTTTAATGGAAACATGCCGAGAAAGCCTCTTAGAGCTATACATACTGCGCGAAGCTCGATGTTTTGAAATATTTTGCGCCTTCATAAGATGAAAAGGAAATTCCCTAAAGTGATGATGCATGAAATAGCTCGAATAATATTACGCTTACGGCACACTTCTACCTATATACGCGACTTTCGGCAGTAAACCGGTTATTTTAAGCCTGAAACAACTAAAATTGTTGTGCCACATCGCATCTTGAATGCATAAGTTAATAAATTTAAACCACTATAGGCAGATAGGCTTGTGGTATCAATTACTGCAATATCAATATCAAACGCGCGTTGCACTTTTATCAGTTGATTGCCCTAACTTCTTGGTTTAAATTCTCCTAATACGATCTCTAGCAACCAGTAAAACAAACGCATAAAAGTAATAATAAAAATAATGTTTGTAAATCTAAGAAGGACAGAGTTAAAAGCTAGGATACTGCACAGATCTTACCCACGCCACATTATTCAAGGTCATACTATTCAATGGTAATTTATAATTTACATTTGCGAGATGGCAACGAAGGTCACATCTCAAGCGCATGTGTAGTGTATCTCAACCACTTACGAAACAGAGAGCCTTTGTGAAGATGCAATATCCAAACATGCAATCGAAGAAGGATGGCCTCGCCATAAGCGTCGTTTTATACCTTCAGTAAGTACCGTTTGTCTTTTTTCTGTTCCTTAGAGTGTTTGTATTAACTTTAACAGAGGCGTCGATTTTATTTTTTAGAAAAATGTGATCACTGTGATGATTATCTTGTAAAACCCTCGTGTGGGCATGTATCGTCTCATAAAAGATCTTATCGAGTAAGTTTTAATTCGTTTGTAGTTGTCGTAAAATGTTTTTTTCTATGTAATATTACATCGCTTACGTATATGTATACAGAAGTGCTAACATGTAAGCAGTAAATTCATACATGTTTCTTATATTTCATTTAGAACAATGTGTAATGGTTTGACCTTACGAATCGAACAGGAATAAA